TTAATTTAAACAATTTATTAAAATTTAAAAATGAAATATTTTAAATATTTAACTATTAAATATTAAACATAATGTGAATATATTATATTAATTATTATATTCACATTATGTCTAATATTAACACCCCTCAGAAATATTGAATCTTTCTTTTATGAGCTAAAATAGCAATTTCCCTATTTGATATCATTATTACAGGTAATGTTGATCTGAGGGCTTATCATATGCCAGGCAGTTTAAGCTGATTTCACATATTAATACTCATTTAATTTCTATAAAAATGTTATATGGTGGCCAGGCGCTGTGGCTCACGCCTGTAATACCAGCACTTTGGGAGGTCAAGGCAGGTGGATCATGAGGTTAAGAGATCGGGATCATCCTGGCCAACATGGTGAAACCCCGTTTCTACTAAAAATACAAAAATTAGCTGGGCATGGTGGTGTGTGCCTGTAGTCCCAGCTACTCGGGAGGCTGAGGCTGGGTTCAAGCTCCTTGCTCGAACCCAGGAGGCGGAGGTTGTGGTGAGCCGAGATCGTGCCATTGCACTCTAGCCTGGGTACCAAGAGCGAAACTCCATCTCAAAAAAAAAAATGTTATATGGTAGGAATTTTTATTCTGATTTTATGAGAATATATTACATTTCAAATATTTAGTATATCTGGCATATCTATTTTACACAATATATTTACATAAGATATAGAAATGAAGTATGTTTATAATTATATGAGCTAAAGTGGGAATGTTAGAGATTTTTGCTTCCCAATTACTTACTCAAAAATGTAGATAAAATATTTGATATTTTGGCATGTAGGCTTTATATTTTCCACTAATTTCTTCTTCTCTTAATATCAGGTTCTCAACAATCCTATTGTCCCTGATGTTCAAATCTGAAGCCAGTCTAAACTGCTTAATAATATATACATAGCAAACTATATAAATGATGTTCTATTCTTGAAGTGACATGCACCTGTTGGTTTCTCATAATTTTTTTATATTCTAATGCACATATACTTTTAAAACTTGGATAGATGTGGAGTTTTATGTTTAAATTCTCTCATCTTGTTACTGTCAATTATACACATTATAGATTATCTCTAAAAGAAAGGCTATTCTCATTCAGAAACTGTCTTTTTGTCTTCATATACTAACAAAGTCACACTGAGATACAGATCTCACTGCAGGGTATAGTCAAAATAAATCTCTGGGGCCACAGATGACAACAGGATACGTTCTCAAATCCTGGACTTGCTGTACACAGTATGATGCTGTTCTGTTATTGTTTCCTAATGTAAAAAAATGTGATGTTTTAAAAAAGGAACAATATGTGTTATAGAGTGTTAGACTTTAGGAGATTGATATAAGAGTCAGTAGGTGCTTACTCCCTCTTTCTTCTACTCCCTCAGTTAATTCAGACTTTCATTTCCATTTCTTCTACCAACTTGACATCTTTCTTTTATATTAAAGAGTTGATTTTTTCATTGGTATGCTTTACTATATAGTTTGAATCGCTTATTAATACTAGAAGTTAACACTCTTTATTCTTCAAGAGATCTGTGGCTTCTTTGAATAATTGCCATTTCAGTGATATTCCTCATACCTTCAAATTTTGAAGGAGACTTTCGTCTAAAAGAGCATAGTGTATTTTATACATATTAGTAACATGAAACATGCTTTCTGTATTGATTACTGTACCTTACCACTCTGAAAAAGTATCATACACACTGTTACACAAATTTTGTCTCTCAAATGAAAGTATTACTTTAAGAGAGTTGGAATGTTTAAGATTTGAAATACTAAGCAAAATTGAATTATAATATTCTTCTTAGTGTTATAAAGAGGTAATATGTGGTTTATATTAATATTTCACTGAATATAATTTAGTTATTAAAAGTAGATCAAGGAAAAGTTATACACTATGTAAAATTTCTGACATTATTTCTCAAAAAATTTATTTTTTAAAAGGAGATTTGAAAGAATATCATTTATATTATTTATCCCTTTTAGAATGTCATAAAGATGAAATTTGCAAAATGTGTTTCTCCAAGTTTAGAAAACGGGATAACTTTTAAAATGTGGAACTTTTAATCCTCAAATATTAAAGGCCAGTTCTCTGGTGACTTACAGTAAAAAAATAATCCAGGAGCCTATTACTGATGGAAGGGAACGTTCTTATCATTCAATAAGCATTTGTGCATGTTTTCAGCCTTTTATACATTTTAGGTCCTTAGAAAATAAAAGTATATACACACACACACACACACACACACACACACACACACACACACACCGCACATATTTCAGCTTGTCTCATTTAGATTTTAGTGGAGAATTTAAAAATAGAACAATAGTAATAATACTACAACAAAATTCAATCGTTTACCATTTTTAGAGTTCTTTCTTATATTAAATGTGATATAGTTGAAGGGTTAAGAGAATGGATTTGCATGAGAAATACTCGGATTTAAATCCTGACTACTGTACAACTAGTTGTAAACTTGAACTAGTTATTTAATCCCTCCAAACTCCTGTGTTTTGCTCTGAAAAACTAAGTTTAAAAAGTACTCCATATGGTTACTGTAAATGTAAATGTAATTAAGCATGTAATATGCTTACATAGTCCCTTCACTTCAGTAATAATAAGCATTAGCTATTTTAATTTTCTGAGCCTAATGAATATTAGCTATTTTGTTTTTCTGAACCTTACAACAGTTTTGAAAGTAGACAAGAAGGCCAGGCGTGGTGGCTCAAGTCTGTAATCCCAGCACCTTGGGAGGCTGAGGTGGGCGGATCACCAGGTCAAGAGATTGAGACCATCCTGGCCAACATGGTGAAATCCCGTCTCTACTAAAATTACAAAAAAATTAGCTGGGCGTGGTGGTGTGTGCCTGTAGTCACAGCTACTCAGGAGGTTGAGGCAGGAGAATTACTTGAACTCGGGAGGCGGAGGTTGTAGTGAGCCGAGATTGTGCCACTGCACTCCAGCCTGGCACCTGGTGGCAGAGTGAGACTTTGTCTAAAAAAAAAAAAAGAAAGTAGACAAGAAAACGACTCTTCTTCCCATTTTATAGAGGTAGGAGATGGAGGCTCAGAGAGATTATGTGACATTTTCCAACAACATAGACTTGAATCAAAGTAAGAATCAGAAAGAAAAGAAAAACCCAGGACTCGTCATTTCTGGTCCACTATCTCAATAGATAAGATACATGAATTTATAAGAATTGAGAGAGACTTGACATGGGGAAAAAACATGTTATCTAAGAGTTTCTGATTTTTACATACTTTTGAGACACAGGGATATATTTTGTATTAATATTAGCTATAAACTTACCTTGAAATGATTCGAAGGGAGATAGGTTAGGATTTTTCAGATATTCCCAGGTAAGAAGTCATATAATGCTTATGTAGTGTTGGTTAATAGATTCAAGTTTATGTACTTCATCCTTTTATGCCTAGTCTGTAATTATACTTCTGCTTTTTTCAACTTGTACAGAGTTTCACCAATAATTTATTAATTAGATTAGGTGTTAAGATTTTACTTTCCCAAACATCATCACCCTTTCCTAGAAGGTATTTTATACTCATATGGTTTCAACTTAAAGTTTTTATCTTTTCTAATTTTCTTTCATTCATTCATTCATTCATTCATTCATTCATTCTTCTAGTCATTAATTCAGGCAGTCATTCAAACAAGTACTCACTATGAGCCACTATCATCCTGAAGCTGCAGATATGTATAGGCATAGTATCTGGCCTTAAGTAGCTCAACAGCTAATAAAGAAGATAAACATGTAAACTAATAAATTTCTGCTAAAGCAATAAATGCAACAGTAGAAGCAGGCATGAAGGGCTCACAGAAAACCAGGGTAGAAGTTAACACTGCCTTTTTTAGGCTCACAAGAGGGTTCTTGAAAGAGATCTGAGCTGGATTTTTAAGGGCAAATAAGAATTTATTAGGCAAAAAGGTCTGAATTTTCTTACTCATACCTGCAAGTAGCTAACTTATCTCTGTTTTGCAAACATTCTGTAAATTGTTTCTTACTCTTTCTTTGTTTACTAAATTATTTTTTACATGCATTCCCAATGCTCAAATATATAATTTCTCAAAGCTTTCCTAATTCAGACCCTTAAAATAGAATGTAATTTGCAAATTCTCAGACTATCATTACACTAAGTTGTGGCTGTTGCAGGAACATTTTTCTTGTAAGTAATATAATATTATTTTTGAAAATGTCTTTGAAATGTGGGATTTTATTTTGCTATATTTGAGTTATTTTGAAAGCCTTTTTAAAAAAGGCTTAATAATGTCCTGGACTTAAAAATCATTACAAATTGTTTTAGAAGAAATCTATAAGATATGATTAAACTGTGATGTAACAATTCCCTAAATACTGTGCTGTTTAGGGGAGATAATAAGTTACCAGGACTAGTTTGTGTTAATTATTTTATTATATGCAGTCCAATGTGAGGGCATTTTGTGTTACACGAATGAATATAATTATACTTTTCTTACAAAATAGGAATCATTATTTACTCTTAAAAATCCCAAAATTATTTTAGCTCATTTTGTTTCAAAACATTTGTTTTTTAGATGGATTAAAAATTTTACTAACTCAGCTTATTTTGAAAAATCTTGTTTGTATATCCATTAAGATTGCACCTCTCTTAAGATTGAAATTTAGGTCAAATTACAACTTGGAATTTAACTTTACTGTAGAAAATAACTGTGCCATCTTTTAAAACTACATTCTAAATTTTAAGCACAATAGATCAAAGTACACCTTATTTAAATAAATACTCTGGAATGAAGTCTCAATTATTTTCTCACAAACTTTCTTAAAATAGTCACTGTTCTCAATATAAAATATGAGGTTTAGCTATATTTTAAAGAGAGATGAAAAGTTATTTATTTTAAAATTTTAATGGTTTTGCTTTCAAATTATGGTAATTTTCCTTTGGGGACATATTTATTTGAATTGTATGTGACATAATTTTTATTTCTTAAGGGTATGATTAAAAGTTTCATGGATGTCTACCAGCTTGCAAGCACTAGAATCACAACATTAGAGAAGGAAATGACATCTCATCGAAGTCACATTGCGGCCTTGAAATCAGAACTTCACACAGCTTGTTTGCGTGAAAATGCAAGCTTACAATCAGTAAGTCCTTGTCTAACAATATTTTTATAACTCCTTGAATCTTGGATTACATTTAAATTTATGTTTTTAATTTTCATAAGATCACTTGCCAATATATGTGATTTAGGGTAAATGATCAGATCATCAAGTGACATAAAATTATTTGTGTGGAGAAAAATTTGAAGGAAGAAAAGCAATTAATTTTTTCATTGTATTATGTATAAAGATATGCATAATGTTATCAATGCTAAAACACTACATCAAGATTCCTTTGTGTTTGGCAGTGCAGCTGACAGTTGGATTTGGCAGTCTGCATAGTTAAGGCTTGCAACTGTCTGAAGATTCTGTGGGTCCCATTAAGACAGAATATTATTAATTATGCGTATAACCAAAATGGTAATTAGAACATGTGATTATTCTCTGTAGAAAACTTGACTTATCCATAATACATGCCTAGCTAAAGATGCATGTTGTGATTCATCTATACAATTAAAATTCAGTTTCAGCAGTTATTTTTATGTCTTAAAATTTTAGCCCATGATGAAATTTGGGCTCACTTAAGACTAAAAAAAATTTCTACACTTGAAATATAGTGTTTGGGGAGTTTTAAAAAATGAATGTATAGTGACATAAAGGAATAAGTAAACATTTAAACTTTTCCTCAAACAGATTCAGAAGGTTACCAATAATTGGAATGTCTTTTTAATTTTTTCTTTGGTTTGATTACAGCAGATTAGGGTGACTTATAAAGAAAACCAGTATCATTTTGCTATGCGGCTGTTGACCCATTTCATATGCTACATTCAGCAGAAGAAAGAGTTATCATTAACAAATAGATGTATGGCTCTGGTCTGATTTCTCACCTTCTTCTGATCTTAGCTCAACTGTCAGCATCCAAATAAAGCCTTTGTAACCATGGTATTCAAAATCACAACCATCAACCCTCCTTGCCCCCTGAAAAAACTCTCTATTTCTCTTTTGCTCCCTATTTTCTGTCTTCCTTCTATCTTTCTTATTTTATTTTTTCCCTCTAGCAGTCATCATCAAAACTGACATATGGTGCATTTTATTTATTTGCTTATTGTGTGTTTGCTCCTTACCCTCAGTAGAATATAAGTTCTATAAAGAAAAGCAGTTTTCGGTGTTTGCTTCATTGCTGTGAAGACATTCAGTTTCAAGAGTAGTCTGGCTTATAGTAAGTGTTCAATAAATATTTATTCAGTGAAAAATACTAGTAATTTATCTAATAAATGTAAAAAGGCAGTTATTTGGGACCTGAGTTGTGAGTTCAATTTTTAAAATGACTTTGTTAATTTCTTAATGAGAGATTGGTAAATTTGACCTCCACCAAGAGAAATTAAAATGAAGAGGAAACTTTTTAAAATTTTGGAGTATTTGGAATTTATTCTAGCCTTTCTCTGAAACATACTCACATTTCTTCCTGTTAACTCTGATTTGATTGGTTAATATTATATTATACTGTTTAAGTTGTATCAGCTTTGTTGGGTTGTACTATTGTTTATTACTTTTTACTATTATTTAATATAAAAACAATTACTTGTATTTTAAGAAGACCAAACTTGTAAGGTGAGATTGGTTTTCCGTGGGTTAAAAAATTTTTTTGCCAATTGTTATGCTACGGGTATCTTAATGAAAGTGTGCTTAATATACCTCACAATCATAACAAAACTCTACTTCTCAAAGTTTTTTCTCCTTTGAACGTATCTGCAGGGTATACTCATCATTTCATTTAGAAGAGGTGGTTCACCTGATATTGATTTTTCATCTATAGATGTGAAAAATTCCCCCAGGTGATTCTGATGTATCCTTTTAGGAGAATGTAGCCCAATTCTATGTCTTGACAGGATGTGTTCTCTCCTATCTTTTCCCTTAGTTGAGAATCATTGTTTTAAAAATAATAAACTTGTATAATGATTTTTATTTTTTATAGATATTTGTACAGTATATGCATTTACTAACTTAAACTTTTTAAGAACTCCCTAAAGGAAGTAGAAAAACAAACTTTTGTCTTTGTATTTCATAGATGAGAGACAATATTGTTTCGTGGATAAAAGCATGGGCTCTGGAGTTATATCCATTAGGAATACCCTCAAGTGTAAATAATAGAAAATCTGACAGGCATAACTTAAAAAAAATAGAGGAATGCAGATATCTCTTTGACCTATTAATTTCATTTTCTTTGGATATATACCCAGTTGTGGGATTGCTGGATCACGTGATAGTTCTAGTTTTTTTTGAGGAACCCTCATGCTGTTTTCCATGGCTGTACTAATTTACATTTCCACAACCAGCATGTGCACAGATTCCTTTTTCTCCACATTTTCACCAACACTTATCTTTTGTTTTTTGTTAGTAGCCATTGTAACAGGAGTGAGGTGATATCTCACTGTGGTTTTCGTTTGCATTTTCCCAATGATTAGTGATATTGAGCATTTTTTCATATACATGTCCATTTGCATGCCTTCTTTTGAGGAATGTCTACTTAGGTCTTTTGCCAATTTAAAAAATCAGGTTATTTGTTTTCTTCTTGTTGTTTGAGGTTGTTACATATTTTGGATATTAATCCCTTGTCAGATGCATAGCTTGCAAATATTTTCTCCCATCCTGTATGTTGTCTCTTCACTGTATTGATAATTTCCTTTGCTGTGCAGAAGCTTTTTAGTTTGATTTAATCCCATTTGTCTATTTTTGCTTTTATTGCCTATAATTTTTAAGGTCATATCCCAAAATATCATTGCCAAGACCAATGGCATGGAGTTTCCCCACTATGCTTTCTTCTAGTAGTTTCAGAGTTGTAATATCTGCACTCATATGTATGTCACAGTGCTGTTCACAATAGCCAAGATATATAACCAGCCCAAGTATCCATCAATGGATGGATGGATGAAGGAAATATGGTATATATACACAATAAATACTATTCAGTCATAAAAAAAGAACAAAATCTTGTCATTTATGACAACATGGATGACTCTGTAGGACATTATATTAAATGAAATAAGCTAGGCACAGAAAGACAAATACTGCATCTCACTCATATGTAGAATCCAAAAAAATAATTTTGTAGTAGAGAACAGATTGGTGGTTACCACAGGCTGGAGTGGTTAGGGGAGAGGAAGCAATGGGGAGATGTTTGTCAGAGAATATGTAATTACGGTTAGATAGAGGAAATAAGTTCTAGATCTCTATTGTACAACATGGTGACTATAGTTAATAAAGACATATTATATTCTTGAAAAATGCAAAGAGTGGATTTTAAGTGTTCCCACCATAAAAATGATAACTTTGTGAGATATTACATTTGCTAATTAGCTAGATTTAATAATTTTACCGTGTATGTATACTTCAAAACATGTTGTGCATGATAAATACATGCAATTTCATCTGTCAATTAAAAAATAGAGAACTTATTTTTCTCACATAGCAGGAAGTCTAGAAGTAGGTGGTTATTGTTATTAGTGGCTCAAAGTCTCTGTGATGGAAAGAAGAAACTGAGAAAGACCAGTGTGGCTGGTGGAAGAAAGCAAAGGCAAGAGAGGTCTAATATAAGAATGGTTCAGAGAAAAAGGCAAAGGTCAGACTTTGTTCTTTGTCCTAAGAGCAAAGAAAAAGTCACTGAAAAATTTTAAAGGAGGAAGGAGCTTAGATTTCCATTTTAAAAAAGATCACTTTGGCTACAGTGTGAGGAACCAGTTAGACACGAAGAACAAGAGAAAATGGTGTGACTGAAACGATTCCTAGTTTTCTGTGTTTGGAAATGGATTAATGGTCTAATTTACTGATAAAGAAAACAATGGGATTTTTTTTATCGGTAAATTTTTATCAGTAAAACATGGGGGGATGTTATGAATTTAGTTTTGAGTATGTTTTAGTTTATTAATTTAGTTTTGAGTATGTTGAGTTTGAATTTCCCTTAATCTAATGTTTGGGAATATTAATATCCACTGACATAGATGGTTTGAGCATCTGTAGATGGTTTGAGGTAGTGCTTTGTACCATCACATCTGAAAAGCACTGAAATGAGTGCTAATTTCCTTTCCTTTGGAACTCACACATCTCTGTGTTCCTTATTGCATAGACCATTTTCTACCTCTGTGTAACAATGTGTTTATAATCATTAAGTGGACACTATTTGAGGGATGGAGACAGAGGTGAATAAGACATGGTCTTTGCCCTGGTGAGTTCCTCTTCCAGCTGGGTGAACAGGGACATAAGCAAATCACAAAAACTGGCATATAAAAAAATCTGTGTATGCACAGATAAGAGACAAGCACATTCTGTCTAACATTGCCAGAAGGACTGAGTAGATAATATATTTGTCTCTGAATAATGTATAGCAATGGGACACCTTGTAAAGTGGGAAGAGCAATCAAAATATATATTTTATGTTGATTTAAGGCTTGAGTCTTTTGGATAGTTCATATGTTTAATGAATGAAATTATGACTTTTGTATAATAGGAGATGTATTGTTATTTTGGTTCCATTCCCCCTCTCAATTAAAGCCACTCAACTCACCCAAACAGCCTGTACCCAGTGAGCCCAAAACTGCTTGCAATAGTCATTCCAAGCTTCACTTCATTGGTTCTCAGTCCATTCTTGCACCATCCAATTCCAGCTTTTTACTTTGTAATCTGATTTGATTCCACTTCTGACCATTTTGTTCTTGATGCTCCTATTTGGTCTCCCTAATATTTTTATTTTGGCCATTCTCAAAACTTTATTAACCAGCGGTCTCCTCCAGCACCTACTCCACCTCCTATTTCCCCCTTCTCACAGAAGGCTTTAGAATCAGGCAGGCCTGAATATACATTCTGGCACTGTTATTCATCAGCTGTTCAAACACTCTAAGCATCAATTTTGATATTTGTAATATATAGATGAAAATGCCCACATTGTAGGGTTGTTATGGGGATGAAACAAGGACACAGTGTCTGGCATATTAGTAGGTGATCAACAAATATTAGTTCTCTTATCTGTGTGTAAAATGATTCTCTGATAG